GACTTCACTGCTGCCCTTCCTAATTTCGGATGGCTAGAAAAGGCTCATTACCATGAAATAGTTTTTACTAGCTGTAACCCCCCCAGTTGTCTAGCCCAGATTCTGTGTTTCCCGACTACAACACTCTACTGTTACTTGAAGCTCAAATTGGCACAATCACAATTTGAAAGTTGTCCAAAAGCAACTTTTGGTCCTTAATCAATTGCCACAAATTTTAGTATTAGATGAAACACCAAATAGCATGTAACCATCTGCTGTAGATTGTGCCAAAATCTCACTGAAAATATGCCCTTCTAGAACAAGCATCCCAGCAGAAATTAACAACAAAATCAGTCACTTTTCATAACTATAGGACTGGTATATTTAATAAGGAATGTGACAATTGCATTTGTTCTACCCCCGAAGCAAGCTGTCAACTCTTATCCTCCTGACATACACCGACTCTACCAGAAAATTTTTTCTGATAAATCCCGTTGCCCTTTTCTGCCTGACATTACTTAACACAAACCAGCATCCAGTGGTTCAGCTAAGTACCTGCTGAGATACAAAATCTTTCATTTAGGTTAAAAAAAGACTCCCACTTATCTCAGAATTTTCAGCTAGCAGGCAGTTTCGGCAATCCTTAAGTGACATTCAGTTGGAAGAGGGCACTTCATAAGATTTTTCAGTGTTCACACTTCCCAAGAAAGATCTTTGAAGCAAAAAGTCCATGGCTGTAACTGGTGGGTAAAGACTCAACAGTGAATCTGCATTTTTTTTTTTTTAATTCAGCAGTATTTATTGGCTGTGGATCAGGACTGTGCCAGGAGTGGTCAGAGACAATTAGACATAGTTCCTGTTTCTGAGGAGCTCCCTGTCTATCAGGGCACATGGGTGTGCATGTGTGTGTTGGGTGTGTGGGTGAAGAATGGATGGTATATACAAAATAGCGACAAGTGCCCCAGCAGAGCCAAGTTCAAGATGAAACGGGATCACTGAGTGGCGAGCACCCTGAGTGGGGTGCCCAGGGAAGGCATCATAGAGACTCCTTTTGCAGAGCTTGGAACAATGGAAAGGAGCTTTCTAGGAGAACAGAGGTTAGAGAGGGGTGGGTGGGAAAGAGAAGGAGGGGTATTCAAGGCAGAGAAAATCTTCCAGCAAGGACAAAAGCAGCCTAAGGGGAGCAGCCAGGTTCCATGAGGGAGCAGCAGATAAGAACAGGCAGGCAGGCTCATCTCAGATCTGAAGGGCCTTGGTTGCCAAGCTAAGGAGCAAGATTTTGTCAGGTGGACCCACAGGGGAGGTGACAGGATCAGATCTGCTTAGCAGTCAAGGGCAGGAGGCTGTGTCTGGAGGGGAGGGGAGGCTGCTGAGAGGGAGTGGCTGTCCCAGAGGCTGGTGGGCACAGGCACAGGGCAGGCCTGCCTGGGCCCCCCCACACACGGATAGGCAGGTTCTGCAACCCACAATCTCCTGGAGATAAACACTAGGCCAGTGACCAGGCAGCCCAGACAAACCCTGGGCCTTTGGGACACCTCTCTAATTAGGGCACCAGCCGGCAGAGTGGGGTTTACTCTGGACGTTCTGAACCCTTGGGCCGGCAGTCACGGCACAGCAGTGCAGCACGTGTGCCTGGGTTGGAACGGGCCTCCGCCACTCCGGAGTAAGTGTCTCACCATCTCTGCAGTCAGTGTCTTCCTGCTAGACAGGGATGGCACCGGCACCTACCTTGCAGGGTTGGCGTGAGGGCGAAGATGTAATCCGTGGAAAGTGGTTAGAACGGGGCAGAACACAGTGGGCCCTGTGTAAAGGTAAGCTCTAGGAAGGAGGAGCCCTTGGCCAGCTCAGCCATGTAAAATTAAAGCTGCTGTGGCTGAACCAGGATGGGGTAGGGTCCTGCTCGGTCTCCCTGCCCAATCCTTACAGTAGGCCCTGATGGAATTTTTCCAGCTAGTTTGAAAATCACTGGACTCTCCATTCCTGGGGTTAATTTTTTCATGTATTTCCTGAATCCAAGGAGTACAAGCAGGTTAGCTGCTGCTGGTGCCTGGCCGGGAGCAGTCTCTGGGTGGAGTCCTATTTCTCCTCTGAGAGCCAGTGTGAGCTGCTGAGGGGACCTGGTGAGTCACCGCCACCGGGCCCATGTGCCCCAGCGTCAGGTGCTGGGCTCAGTGCCCTGCAGAGGGACAACCGTGTGAATCACTGCTCAGACACAGAGACATCCCTGCTGGACCAGGAGGAAGAAGGGCTGAGGGGTTTCCTGGAGCACCGAGAACATCTCCCTGAAGGAATAGGGAGTTGTCATCCTTTTCTGCTACATGGGGCGGCCCAGAAGGAAATTCTCCTTTGTGGTTGTTATAAACGAGTTAATCCGAGTTAAGTACTTAACACACGTTAAGCATGCAGTGGACCTTCACGTAGAGCTGCTTTTACTCCGTAATCCCAATTCTGCTTACACCTGTTAAAGTAGGTATGGTGTTTCAGAGCCCAATAAATATCTAGAACTGCAGTTTAAAAAAATTCTCTCCAAGAAAGTTCTCTTGTATTCTTCATGTTACAAATACACACAAGATATTACACACAATATGACACACTATGTCAGTGAGGCAAAGATTAATCCTTTCTAGTTTGGCTTAAGGTCACCTTGCTGTCATTTTAAAGCCGACTGTCTGAGGCAGATCCTGCAGGAATTCTAGCAGTGTTTACGGAGTTGGCACCCACCCATCATGAGCAGAATGCTGTGTAGATGAGGATCTTTTCAGAGAACCCTAGTGAGTGAGATGTTACCACGGCATTGCTGACCCCAAGTTACCACCACAGCGGCGGTTCCAGTGGCAGCCTTAGCTCCCATTAACAAAGGTTGGCAGCTACGGTAGGCAGACCAGTGTACTCTGGGGAGTAACTAGTACCTTATTAAGTTATAAATACATTCAATGGCTTTACTATTGGTTTCTTACTTTGGAATATGAGGGGGAAAAAATAGAACGTATAATCACTACAGTCTAAGTAAAAAGCCACTATTTTTTATGTGTATTTACCTACAATATTGCTTCTGAATTATCTTTTTTTTTTTTACAGAGCCCACACTCCCTCAAAAGGCAATTGTAACTCTCCTGCAATTGCACCAAGCTACTTGCAAGGCTCAACCAGCTTATCTGGAAGAAATGACTTAAAAGTGGTACAGATTTTAAAAATCAAACTGTTTGGTTTTGATTCAAACTAGCCAAACCAGTTCAGAAAAAGCCCATGAGACCTCTCTCCCCACCCCTTCTGGTTTCTCCTTAAGAGGGAAAAATGTCATTTGTGCCCATTTTCATTCCCTGAACTTTAACCACAGAGCATTTTCTTTAAAAGAACATAAGAGCTGGAAGGAAGGGCACAGAGTCCTTGTCCTTTACTTATCTGCACTGAGAAAGAACATATTTAAAATCATTCACCGAATAATAACTGTTACAGCAAGTTCAAGCTTACCTCATTTCCAATTGCTGACCTGCCGGGCTAATTCTAGAGTTGGGCGCCCTCCAAGATGCCCAGGGACGGGGACCGTCTCAAGGAACGCTTTGGTGGTTTGGTGGAAGCAGCGGCCCCTGAGCTGACTGTGAGGAAATCTAAATAACTGCACAGGTGCTACATGCTCCACACGGGTAACACCCGCACAGCCCACCCCCCTTCTGTTCCCGAACACAAACGCACTGCTGCGTCTCCTTTCTCCTCGCGAGGACCACGGCGCCGCTCTCCTTTTCCCCAGGGGGAGCCGTGTGCTAGGGGGACACCTCTTCCTAGGTGGGCACTGTGGACTGCTCGTAAACCAGGGCCATGGCCGGATCCGCAGCAGGGTGACAGTGGGGTAAGAGAGGTCACCATGCCGCGGGGGCTGAGCTACTTGCCCTTGGTCAGGACGGACAGGCCCCTTCTCAAATAAAGGCTAGAAATGGCTCCTCTGGGTGACTTCTTCCCCATATAGAGGATGGCTGAGCTAGCCGAGGCAATCTGTAGTTGGCTTCAAAATCAGGAACGAGGAGGGGGAAAAACCTCACAACAAACAGTGGCAACAGAAGGTTTGTGTGGGAAGGTGGTTAAGTTTGGTCTAAAACAAGCAGTGTCTCTGGTAATGAGCTGTTGTTAGGAAATACGCGGGCCCGCGCTGCTTGCAGCCTTTGAAAGAGCACCGCTGTGGCTGCCTCTTGAGGGCTGCGTTTTTGGGGGGTGGTGGGCAGGGGGAGGGCAAAGAGAGGTGAAGCAAAGACCCAACTAAAGCCACCACCATGTGTGTCAGCCACAAAGTTTGCACTGGAACCTCAGCTCCACTCCAGCTGCTGCACGACCTTTGGTACCATACCTGCCCCTTCTCTGCGTCACAGCTGGCTCGGCTGTGAAAGGAGGACACCTAAGGAACCAGGGAGGTCCTGGGAGGAGAGAGGTGGCAACTCAGAGGGGATGAGAGAGGAGAGTTTCATAATGGGACTATTTACAAGGGGTGTGGGCAGGGTTAAGGAACTCCAAAGGAGGACAGTGAAGTACCCAAGGGGTGGCAGAAGCAGGCAGACAGGACCAATCCTTGGCTTGAAGGGACAGGGGGAGGGTGTGGTTACCAAACCCCAGAAGTCGCCTGACAGGAACTGTAGACTTTGGCAGAGGTGCCCAGCCACTGCCAAGCCACATCCGGCAGGAGGGAGCCGGGAGTGAATTCCCAACTTCTGTCTTCTCTTCTCCGCCAAGCTCCCCCAGTGTCTCCTGTGGATCCTGACCAGAGGCCAGGAGGGCAGGTCCGCAGAGGCCAGGCTCCTGGAGGGAAGTGCAGGGTGGGGAGGGGACCCGGAGGAGCACACAGAATATCCAGCACACCCAAATACTTGATGGGCTGATAGGGTTTACAATGAGATAGTAATCACAAACACCCGCAAGGTAAACACTCACTGCCCATTTGGCTGACTTGTCAAAAGGCCACAATAGAACTTTATTCTCAGGTGGCAAAAGCCAAAATAAAAACAAGATGTGGTCTTCAGAGTGAAAAACAAAACTTTTACAAAGTTGACAGATAACATTTATTAAAACATGTCATACAAAAGGGCATGGTCTCTTCTATAAGAAGAAAATATTAAACAGTAACATTCAATTAAGTAAAACCATGCTGTACACTGAAGACAGCAATATATAAAGACAAAACTATTCAACTTTTGCAACACAGGCATAACATTTCACAAAATATCAATAAGATATGCACCTAATGATAATCTGTTTATCATCAAATGGTTTTGTGGCCTAAGAGTCACCTGACTTGCATAAATAAAGTACTTTTCTGGAAGAAACATTGGGAACCTCATAAAAGGAAAGAAGGCAGCAGCAACTAACATGACACAGGCTTCAAGCAGAAAATTCTTCTAAAAAAGGTCACATTTGCAAAATGTGTTCCAGCATCTTCCCATAGGGCACTATCAGTAGAGATTTGAAATAAGAAACTTGTACCTTCAAATATGTAAGTAGCAAAGAAGAAAACCCCAACAAACCCTGGTTTCAATGAACGAAGTTAGCCACCCATGAAAGCAACCTAGATCTCAGAATCAGTGGGGTTGGCCCCTCCCCAAGCCACCCAGGGCCCCTTCCCAAGGGAGAGCGCAGCTCTGCAGCCTGGGCCTCAGCCTCACCTCCACAGCAGCTAGGGGTGTGGTGCCTCCGCTGGTGGCCGCTGGGGCCAAGCAGCTTTCCCAAACAGCTGGAAGCCAGCCTAGGGTCAGTTCAGTTCACCAAACACCCACTACAACCCAGGGGACCCTTTTGGACAGACTCTTTTAAAGTAATGGCCAAAAGGGACAGAGAGGAAGGTGAGACCTAGAAACAACAGACTGGGGCCGAGGAGCGCCTGAGGGCCACCACGGCAGTGGAGGGGAAGTCCTCCCTTAGCCAGACACTGACACCTACTTCACTCGGGGGATTATCTAAAATGAAAGGCATGGTATAAGCGCGAACATTAAATACCATTGGTGGTGCCTTGAAGCCCTTTCCCACTGGGATTGGAGAAAAACCACAGTTAAGATTCAAAGCAGGGGACAAACACCTTGGTTGTAGGCCATTGACATGATCCCTGAAAGACTGTTTAGAAAATGTTACCCACAACTGTCCAAACTCACTAGGAAGGATAAAGATTTTCTAAAGATGTCCTGAGTGTGAGGGGAGAGACTCTCACTCCAACCCAGGATGGAGAGGAAAAAAGGTAACAAACAAACAGAGTTTATAAAAATTCACTTTCAATATCCAAACCAAAGCAATCCCCTTCTCCTGCCTCTCTCTGAACATGGCCAGCATTTCAGACACCCAGCCATCTCACAGGTCTGGCTAACCAATGAACAACCCCGATTTTTACTAAAACCCCAACTGTCACAAAAAACTTACAACAGCAGATGTGAGAAACTTATTGAAGTTCTACTTTTAGTAGCTGATGTACATATAAGGAGTTCAACAAAACATACTCTTCTCTCCACAGCACACTTAAATAAGTCCCCGCACCACTGAATGCTTCCAAAACTACCACCCAAGGGCTGGCCATCCCTCCTGGCTGAACAAAAGTTCTGGATCATGACTCATGACAAGGGCGCTATGCTGATTTCAGCATAAATGAAGGACCATGATTTTCCCAAAATAGCTTTATTTTACCTCTCAGACTCTTCTCTCCAAATGTCCCAAGGCTCATACAAGTATAATCATTAATGGGAAACTGCACATCAAACCTCCCAACAGGTAGAAAATGCTTTGCTAATACCAGGGGAGAAGGTGATCAGCTTTCGGCAGAACAAAATGGCTTCTCTGCCTTAGTACTGAAATCAGTAGGAGGCATAAAACAATTTCTCCTCACACATAATGGCTAGGAGCATTCCTAAAACCCATTGCCTCTCACATGAGAAAGAGAGAAGGAGCAACTGAGCTTGTACAGTCACCTCTATGTACTTCTGTCAGGTACAGAGACAGGACTGTCAACTGGTGAAGTTTCAAAACTAAGAGAAGACGATATTAATGTGGCAAACAACCAAGAGGTAATATCTAGTTTCTAGGTCAAAAAAAACAATATATATATTTATAATAAAGTTTTAAATACAAAGTGCTTTTTATATATCGAGAATGATACAGTGTTACTGAATAAATCCCTGTTTTGTAATCTTGATTACAAGAGTTAACTGGTAAATAACCTTTCCAGACAATATTCAATAAGTAAACACCTTGGTGTTAGGAGCTTGAGAATCAGAGGCTGTTGCCAGCAATGTCTATCACATTAGAGCAAAGCTAAACTTTTAAAACAAAATTTCACCCCAAATCCAAGAAAAATTATTTTTATTTTAAGGAAAAAAAGTTTCTAGTTAGAAGTAACAGACCAGTAAGTTTAAGGAAAAGATGACATAGTAGTAGCACCCTGTCCTACCCTGATGATAACTTCAGGTATATTACACAGCTTAAAAGCATTCTGAATATATGCTTTCTTTTTTGCCTAAAAAATCTGACTGATAGCAGAAAAGGTCTAAGGATAGCTGCTTTTTTTGTTTTTTTGGTAGGTATAGCTATGTGGACTTGTAAAGTCAAGCAGCTTTATCTACGATTTGGGAGCATAAATCTGTAGACTACTTTGCTAAAATTAGGACTCCTTCTTTCTCCTTTTAAAAACACATTCCAGCACTCATAAAGAGCTGGCAGGATTAGCTCTGTACCTTTCTAAAGAGTATTTCCCCCATCAGTGTATTCTCAAGACGCTTTTCTTGGGCAGTTTTTCCTCTCTCAAGTATAACCTGCCACTCCTAAAATTCTGCTTCTCCACAACGCTCACTCTGTTCATTGGAGTGTCACGGCAGCACTCCATTAACTCCTAAAGTTCATGGGTAACTCCCAGCCACGGCTTTTGGCTTCTTCCCACTAACTGTGGTCACTGACTGCCCTCTTTGGGAAGCACCATGATCTAAGACAGAGTAACGGCAACAGCAGTCGACGGTATTGAGGTCAGAGTCCCAGCAGGCCAGATGCCTACCATTTGCAGAGTAGATCCCACTGCGTGGGTGCTACAATTTAACGGACAGGATTTGGGACTGCAAACCAATTAGAAATACCTATCTCTGGCACCGTAGAGAATTACAATTAGATACAACTGTTCAAACTCAACATTAGTACCAAAATACAAAATTTTCCCTTACCAAGAGTTTGAAACACCTTGTGACAATAGTGGCATCTTACAGAAATTGAAGCTAGTACCATAAGTTATTTGTTTCATACTTAGAATGTCACCCTCTAGCATCTCCATAGTTTTACTTAAAATACCCTTTAGGAAGAATAAAACCAGACAAGAGAGCTCTGTTAATCAATTGCTCATCCTAGGAATCACATTGTTTATAGCTTTTACATAAGGAGTATTTCATTCAGTGAAGCAGCTACCAGAACAAATCCACATTACCTAAGAATCTATAGTAAGAGCAAAAACATTTCAGCATGACCTTAATAAGGAGTGATCAAGAACTGCTGCCACGTGAAATGGAACTGGTAGGCTGGAGTCCAGTTCCAAGTGCAGGTGTCTAAGTCCACCTGCTTCAATCACGACTGGCCTGAAGATTTACCTTGCCAGCTGGGCAGTGGGTTAACTTGCCCCCATTACCCATTCCAGGCCAGGACTGGAACATACAAATTTGAGGAATTAGATTTTTTAATTGGCCTACTTAGAGCTGGTCTTTCAGAAATATCTTCCTTTTTTTTAAGCTTCTCTCATAATAGCAAGTAGCTCGCATCATCTGTGCCCAGATTTGCATTAATTACCATAGTTTATTTTTGTGCATGCCACTCAAGGGCCAGATCCTATTTTTAGTTAGCCTCAGTTGTATTCTGCTCAGCCTTTGCAGCTTCGTAGGACTTGGTACAAGAAGTCACATGCCGGTGGAAACTGTCCCTCCACATAAACCTCTTTGCACAGATATTGCACTCGTACGGCTTTATGCCCGTGTGAATTTTCATGTGGCCCACAAGATGGTGCTTCATCTTGAATTTCTTACCACAGACACCACAGCCGTAAGGCCGGAGACCGAGGTGCATACTCATGTGTCGATCTCTCTGACTCTTGTGAGTGAAACTTTTCCCACACTGACAAGGATACAGCTTGTCGGTGGCTGAGAATCCTAAGTGGGAAGCTTCTTCTTTAATTCCTGTGACCATTTCAATATTCTCGCTGTAGCCTGCTGCTAGGGCAGCCTCTTGTCTGTGCCCAATGAGATTCCCATCTGACCTCTCCCCAGAAAACTCTTCCATAGAAGAGCCATAGAAATCCACCTGCTCATCATAATTGCTTTCATCAGCCTGTTCGTCAAACTCTGCTTCTACTTTTTTTTCCCCAATGTGAAAGTCCTCCTCCACTCCTGAAGGCTGGATCGAATGCTCTGTCTGCAGAGTATTGATGGACTCAGTGACCTGGTGCTCGTCGTAGGCTGCGTGCACATCCATGCCCTCACAAGCCTGTTCCAGGCGCTCAGGCTTCACATGGATCCAGCGTTTGTGAGCCATTATGCTGGGCTTGCTGTACATGGGCCGGGTGTAGTGGAACTCGGCGCTGTCGCTGGCCCCCTCCTCCCCATCCTGGCTAGCCATTTCAGTGCTCAGCCGGTCATGCTCTGTGGACGAGTTGCTGGGCAGGTACTCGTGCTCGGTGAGCTGAGATGACAGCTCATCTTTGATGCTCTCCTCTTCATTCTCACCATCCCTCAGTTCTTGGGCTTTGGGGAAATCAGTATGACCCCCAGAGCCCAGCTCAAAGCTCTCCACCAGGCCATTATAATTACTGCTACTTGGAGACTGGTGGTCACTGCCATGATTAAGCTTCTGACAAAGGACAGTAGGGTTTCCTTCTAAAACCTCAGTGCATTTGTCTACCACATGCCACATCTGGAGAAAGCTTGCTGCTGTCAAGTAACTAACAATTTCTGGAGCAGGCATTACTAGACGTCCAGTATAACTAGATAGGAGAATGTTCTCAAACACTCTTGGGTTCATCACATCAGGCAAAATAATTCTTCTGCTATTTTTCAGGAGTACCTGGTCACAAAAGTAGGGTGAACTTGCAGCAAGGACAGCTTTGTGTGCCCGGAAAATGTGGCCTTGGACAACAATGGAGACATCACATAATTGCCCTTGCTGGCGCTGCTGGTTCAGTTTCTGTAGAATGGTGCTGGAAAAATCAGGAAATTCTACTCGAAAAGAGTTTGTTCCAGGCTCCATTTCATCACAAATCTTATTCAGTGCTATAAGAGAAAGAAAAATTAGTACTAATTCCAGCCCAAAGAGAAACTTATTCCATCCCCTTCTCCATCATTGAGTAGGTTCCAAAGTTCTATGATATAAAGTCCCTAGTCTGTGGGCACTAGTGGGTGAAGGATTCATTCCCTAGAGCAAGGCTTACAGTGTGACAAAAGCAAGGGCCACCACCACTCCTCACGGAACTCTTCATTTTGCCTCTGTCTGTGGATAGGACAGATTCCAGTGGTTGGATTTGTAAGCTATACAAATCCTCTAAGTAAAACAATTATTGTAAATATGTCTAGTTAAAACAAACATGATACCTAGAAAAACTAAAGAATTTTTTTTTTTTTTTGAGATGGGGTCTCCCTCTGTTGCCAAGGCTGGAACGCAGTGCTTATTAACAGGTGGGATCATAGCTCACTACAGTCTCGAACTCCTGGGCTCAAGTGATCCTCCTGCCTCCCGAGTAGCTGGGACTACCGGCACCCACCAACACCTGTCTCAAAACAAGAATTTTTAAGCTTCAGATTCAACTCACATTTGATAAGTTGTAGTGAGGGAGGGAAAACAGAATTGTGGGAAGGAAGAGCATATGCAAAGGCTCTGAGGTAGGAATGAAACTGGCAATTGCAAGGAACTGAAAGGAGACCCCTAGGCTAGAGTCCAGTGATGGAGTGAGGGGCAAGGGGGCTGGAGCGTGGGGCCGAGACAATTGTGCCTTTGGTATTTCAGCACCAAAGGGGTATAGTCGCTGAGCCCCGAGCAATGCAGGTTTCTCTAGCTGCTGTCAGAATTTTAGCTCTTTAAGAGCTTCTGATGAGGTAAAGCAGAATGAAACTGCAAGGTGAGGAATTCATTCTACTTGGTGGTCTCCACACTGTCTAAAGAGTTATAGACCAAAGAAAATGGTAAGTATTGTCCTGGCTATTGAATGGACTTGATCAGAAGATAAAGTTCTAACAAAGAACAAGAGATTACCTGTGTTGCTACTGTAAATATATTCTGTGGGATAAGGCAAGCATTAGAGACAATTCCTAACAAAAGCAGTCAAGATGAGCCTGCTAGAGATCCTTCATGTCCCATAATTCCATAGCAAATTAAAGCAAACAAAAACACCCAAATGATTTATCAACGCTATCTGTTACCTTGTTCTAATACTATAACCGAACATTGCTAAATACCAAGTTGTCTAAGCATGACATAAAAGAACCAGAGAACCCAAACAGACTGAAACTCACCTTTGAGGGACGGGGTGAGATGATGAGAAGAAATGAACATTTCTTCAGTAATTATTATCTCCATGGACTGTACACCTTTTTTCACTTAATCTTTATAATTACTCTGCAAATGTAGGGCTTGATATTCTTAGTTTAGCTATTTTAAGTAATATTCCCAAGGTTAAAAGCTAGTTTTTATTAAGTTGAGATGTGAATCCAGGTCTGTATGACTCCAAAGTCTATGCTATTTTTCCTACCACATCACTGTGCCTCCTCTAAGATGCCAAAATGACAAATTAGTCATTAATAATTTTAAAGGGTAAGACAATGTCTTCAGAATGAAGACATTAATGTGTTAACTCATTAATTAATTTAGGGTTAATTAGGGTTAATTTAGGATTTTATACATCTTAAAACATTTCAGAGTAATTTAAAACAAGAATAGACCATGAAATAAACTATTTAGGTATTTGTAGTTTCAAAAGGAAAAGCTGACTATATAAATGAATAGACTAGAAGCATGTATATTCTAACAACTACATCTGGGTGAACAGATTCTCCGCTACATCTCACCACTGTAGAATCTTGTTCTTAGCTATCTGAAAAAGGGGGTGGGGTGGGGAGGAGGACAATACATGCGCATGTAAAAAAAACTATATAAAGGTGTAAAAAAAAATCTCTTCATCATTTATTCCTAGTCACCCTCATAAGAAATCACCATTAAACTCCTGTATATATTTCTAGAAACTTCTCTGTGCATATATCAGAATAAATCATATATATCCTTTAAAAATCCCTACTCAAATGGATTCATTACCTACATTTTATTCTACACTTAGCTTTTGTCACTTAATATATCTTGGAGATCTTCCCACATTAGTACACAAAGAGCTAACTCATTCTGTTTAATGGCCACATAGCTTCCTATTATATGGATGTATCATAATTTAAGCAATTCTCTTCTTATAGAATTTCAGTTGGCTGGGATTTTGAAATTATAAGCAATGCTGCGATGGATATCTGTATATAATTATCTTGGCATACCTTTGGAAATATCTATAGGGCAATTTCTACCAGTGGCATTGTAATTGTTGGGTTAAGGGGCTGTACATTTGACTTTCTGATATATATTACCAAACCACTTGCCAGAAAGCTTGCCCTAAGTCAAACTCTGACCAACAATAAATGACAATGTTTACTTCCCACACCCTTATGAAGACTGAATGTCATTAAACAAGGAAAAAAAAGTGTGCAAATCTCCTAAGTGACACGATTCACTGCTGTTTTGATCTGCATGCCCTTAATTATGAATGAGGCTAATACTCTGTACTCATGTTTACTGGTCATTTCTGGTTTTCTTTCTATAAATTAGTCATATCCTTGGCTCAAACAAATCGGGCAATCCATCTTATTAGCGGGGTTTTTTACAAATTCAGATAATTATTTTTATCCTATGTTGCAATATTTTTCAGTTAGCTTACTTTATAGAATTTTTTTGCCACAATGAAATTTATATGAAAATACCATTCTGTGCTTTATGGCCCCAGGGTTTTGTGTGAGACATAGAAGGGCATTCTCAACTCCAAAATTATTTTTAAAAATAAAAATAATTATTTAGGTTTTTATCCTGATACCATTTAAAAAAATAAACATTTAAACCTTTAATACATGGACTTTATTTTGGCATAAAGAGTAAGGTTGGGACTCAGCCCTTTTCCCTCCAAAATGGCTAGCCTATTTTTCCAACATCATTTATTGAATAACCCATCGTTTTTTTCATAAAGTTCAAGTATCTGTAGTAGAATTCGAAATGACTGAGAATAAGACGTATAAAAACAGCTCTACAAGAATAAATGCCGTAAGTGAGATTACAGAAAATGGTAGAGCAGGAAGCTCCACGGTTGGTCTCTCCACCAACACAACCAGGAAGCTGGGAGAATGATCAGAATCACTATTTCAGAACTCTGGAAGCTTGTCAGACACTCTTAGCACGAGAGCGGGAAAGAAGAGACTGCTGAATCTCAGAAGGGTGCAGGATACACAAATCCCTGGTTCCTTAGCCCTGCCACAGCCTGCTGGAAGGTGGCCCATATTCCTAGAGCAGCTGGCTGATGCCAGGGTAGACAGTAAGGAGTAAGAACCTTGCCCTCCAAAAATTGGAGGTTGTGCATTTTCACGAGTCTGGTGGACCTACACAGCTTTGATTTGGCCCCTGCAGGCTGCAGTAGCTTCTGGTGATGTGTATCATAAAATTTAAGAACACCTCTCCATCCAATGTGCATACCCAGATCAGATCCAAATATTTCAGAAAATCTCTATTAGGTCACAGGTAGACTGCATACAGAGCAGAAAAGAAACTTCAGTGATTACACCCAATAAGGAACATAGACCATGCATAATAATTTGGAAAAATCACTACACAAACACACCACTGTAGCCTCAACAAGTAACAAGAGCAATTCCTGAGGAGGGGGAGAATCTGATTTTCAAAGCTACTATCAAGAAAATATAACAATTATAAGCATATACACATCTAAATGAAACCAGAAATCAGTAACAGAAGGAAAACTGAAAAACTGACAAATGTGGAAATTAAGCAATATTCTTAAATGATCCATAAGAACTCATGAGGGAATTAGAAGATACTTTGAAACAAATACAATATACCAAAACTTATGGGAAGCAGCAAACACATGTACCAAAACATTTAGGAAGAACCAAAAGCAGTGCTTGTAGAGTAATTTATAGCTGCAAATAACTATTTTAAATAGGAAGAAAGATCTCAAATCAATAACCTAACTGTGCACTTAATGACACAGGAGAAGGGCAAATTAAACTAAAAACTACCAAAAAGAAGGAAATTATAAAGATTAGAGCAGAGATAAACAAAAAGAAAATTAAAAAATACAGAAAAATCAATTCAAGTACAAGTTGACCCTTTAAAAAGATCAACAAAATCGACAAGCCTTTAACTGTATTTACTAAGAAAAAAAGAGAAAACTCAAATTATTAAAAGAAGTGAAAGAAGAGTCATTACTGGCTTTACAGAAATAAAAAGGATCATAGGAGACTACTATGAAAAATATAAGTGAACAAACTAGGTACCTTAATGAAATGGGCAAATCCAACCAAAACTGGTTCTAAGAAATAGAAAATCAGAATAGACCCAAAACTAGCAAGGAGATTAAACTTTTCAACAAAGAAAACATCCCAACTGATGGCTTCACTGGTGAATTTTACCACACATTTAAAAAATACAACCAATCTTTCTTAAACTTTTCCAAAAAATTGAAGCAGAGGCAACAAACACATCCTAATTCACTCATTCTATAAGGCCAGCAGTGTCCTAATACCAAAGCCAGATAAAAACACTACAAGAAAACTACAGACCAATATCCTTTATGAACACTGGTGCAAAAAAAAAAAAATACTACTAAACCAAAGTCAGCAGCATATTAAAAGGATTGTATGCCATCACCAAGCAAGCTTTACTCTTGGAATGCAAGGATGGTTCAACATATGAAATCAATCAATGTAATATATCATATTAACAAAATGAAGAAAAAGAAAAAAAAAACTAAATGATCATTTCAACTAATGCAGTAAAAGCATCTGACAAAATTCAACACCATTTCCACGATAAAAACACTCAAGAAACTACCTCAACATAATAAAAGCCATATATTAAGAACCCACAGCTAACATCATACCCAATGGTAAAAGTATTAAAGCTTTTCCTCTAAGATCAGGAACAAGACAAAGATGCCCATTTTTGCCACTTTTATTCAACATAGTATTGGAAATTCTAGCCAGAGCAGTAAAGCAAGAAATAAAAGGCATTTAAATTAGAAAGGAAGAAAAATTATTTGTTTGCAATCACATGATCATACATAGAATACCCTTAAGATTCCACACAAAACTGTAAGATTATAATAAACAAATTCAACAAAACAGCAGGAAAGTTGTAAAAATTAGTTGCATTTTTATACACTAACAATGAACAACCCAAATAGGAAATTAAGAAAGCAATTCCATTTACAATAGCATCAAAAAGAAAATACTTAGGAATTAACCAAGGAGATAAAAGACTTATACACTGGTAACTACAAAACACTACTGTAAGAAATTAAAGACACAAATAGACAGTGTGTGTTTGTGGATTGGAAGATGCAATACTGTTAGTACTACTACACAAAGCAATATACAGATTCAACACAAGCCCTATCAAAAACTCTTGCCCTTAATTTTAGGTGAATGTGGCATTTCTCCGTATTCCCTCACCCTAGTAACATATACAAAGCTTAAATTTATATAGGTTTTCCTGCTATATAGCAATATTTACAAACTCACAGGCAGTTAGTTGTGACCTATGTATTTAGAACACAGCTGCTATTTCAATTGTTTAGAAGACGTCTATAGAAGTAATTATTTAACTCACTAAGAAAACTCCATAAAACACTATATACCGTGGGGGACTTCAAAGACAATCAAGGAATGTCACTGTCCTTGGAGATTTTATAATGATGAAAAACATGCATACAACATTGTTATTCAAAGAAAAGCCTGATAAAAGTACCATAAGAGAATTACAAACCTAGGAGGAATTCAGAGGAGGGGACCTGGTATGCCCTAGAGTTAGTTATATGTCCTATCACTATAAATTTTGGTGTCACCAGGGTAATACCATGACCTTAAGATTATATAATTCTTCCCATCTACCACACACTGATTAAAATAATCTAATAAATATGGAAAAATTGGCCTGAGTCCTAGAACCTAGGGAACAGTGTTATCTACATGCCATAAAAATTAAAGATATAGTGGATCAGTAACACCCTTCACTTGAAGGGCCCAGAGCTAAAAGCCAGCGTGGGCCGTGGGTCAGACAGAACCTGCAGATTGGCAACATTAAGAGGTGGACGGTATTAGGATACCAAAGGCTGAATGTCACCTCAGCAGGAAAAAAAAATCTTAATATGAAAGGGTGGAGCTCAGGGGCCCGAAGAAGGAGGCAAAGGCATAGCCATCATCTGCCAGCTGGGCCAAAGAGACAACAGAGGCTCGCGATATCACAATTTCACCAACACCAAAGAAAGTGCACAAAACTGAGAGCTGAAGGCCTACCCTCCAGCCCCAGCCACTCCACCCGAGCTGACCCCACTTGTCGCTATGGCTCAGCCTCACATCCAGCTTAAGAACTAAAAGTGGATTCTAACAATATTCAGCTATACAGTGAGGGTCCCCAAATTAATCCACCTACAAAGAGGTAAAATTTAACACTTAAACAGAATGTTTCCCTCTCAAGAATTAATAAACAGAATAAAGCCAACATGGGGTCTGTGAATAGATTCTACAGTATCAAAAAAGAAAAATATGGCAAGGAATAGATAAAGAGTACATTTTAGATACCATTTTTTAAACTGAAGATTTCCACAAACCTCATGAGGTGGTATGAATAAAGTATAAGGAAGATGAGACAAAATAGCAGAATGACATGGGAAAAACAGCTGACTGAATTAAAGATAGGAAATAAGGAAACTAATAGAGCAGAAATTTACAGAGGCAAGAAGCAGAATTACAACTATAGAAAATGGAATCAATGATGTGCAAGGCACTTTGGGAAACTTCTACTAGAATGCAGAAAAAGGATAAAAATATGAAAACAGTGACAGAGAAGATAACAGAGCAAGAGAACAGAGAACATAGATCAACATACAGCTAATTAGTGTCCTTGAGAAAAGGAACCAAACAGAGAAGGTAAAATACTCAAAATATTTAATTGACGAAAAGTTTCCCAGATCCTTTTGTATTTCATAAGCATGACGACTGGGTTTTCACATGCAAGCATGAGACGTGCCTCCCTCAAACCTTGTTACCACATGGGCACATTACCCGTCTGACATGAAAAGAAAAAAAAGTTCCCTGAGTGAATTGTGAGTAGAGTATGCAGAAGAGCCCTGCCTCAGTAGTGGGGACAAATTAATCCCAGACAAAATGCAGTTCTAGTCCTGCCAAACAAAGCTTAAAAACAAGTCTCAAAAGGATCAAACTGTTTCCAACTTAATTATGTTCCAGAATGAAGCTTGAGAACATTTACATAATACAAAAATATCCAGCACCAAACAAGGTAAAATTCATATCTGACATCCAATAAAAAAATCACCACACATGCCAAGAAGCAGAAAAATATAACCCATGATACTGAGAGGGCTAAGAAATCAATCACCCAGAAATGACAGAGATTTATACAATTGGTAGACAATTCTATGTTCAAGAAAGTAAAGGAAAGATTAAACATGTTAGGTAGAGAAAGGAAAGCTATTAAAAAAAAAGAGAGAGAGACCTAAATAGAACATCTAGAAATCTAGAGATTTAAAGCACACAACACACAAACACACACACACACACACACATAGGAATAGGAATAATGACAGAATTAACACCACTAAAGAAAAAGATCGATTAATTAAAAACATAGTGGCCAGGCGCAGTGGCTCACGCCTGTAATCCTAGCACTTTGGGAGGCCAAGGTGGGAGGATCACTTGAGCTCAGGAGTTCGAGACCAGCCTGAGCAAGAGTGAGACCCCCGTCTCTACTAAAAAAAAAAAAAAAAAAAAAAAACACCAGAAAGAAATTAGCCAGACAACGAAAAACATATAGAAAAAATTAGCCAGGCATGCATGGTGGTGCATGCCTGGAGTCCCAGCTACTTGGGAGGCTGAGGCAGAAGGATTGCTTGAGCCTAGGAGTTTGAGGTTGCTGTAAAGCTAGGCTGAAGCCACGCCACTGTAGCCTGGGCAACAGACTCTGTTTCAAAAAAAAAAGAAGAAAGAAAGAAAGAAAGAAAAAAGAAAACAAACATAGCAACAGAAACTACCCCAACTAAAACAAAGAGGAAAAAAAAATAGAAAAAATATAGAAAGGGGAGAGAGTACCAGTGGGTCATGAGACAACTATGAGGTGCCTAATATGCATGTAATGTGAGGGAGAAGGGACAGAAAATTACATATGACAAGCTGTGAGACATGTGAAAACTATATATATTTTTTATACATGTGTGAAAATAGCCTAAACTTTCCCAAATTTGATGAAAACTACAATTTCACAGACCCGGTCAGGTGCGGTGGCTCACACCTATAATCCTAGCACTGTGGGAGGCTAAGGTGGGCGGATTGCTCAAGGTCAGGAGTTTGAGACCAGCCTGAGCAAGAGCGAGACCCCGTCTCTACTAAAAATAGAAATAAATTAATTGGTCAACTAAAAAAAATTAAAAAAAAAATTAATTTCACAGACCCAAGCAGTGGCTCAACAAACCCCATGCATGAGAAACATAAAAAAAATGACACCAAGGCACAGGATAATCAAAACACTTAGTGATGAAAAGAAAATCTTAAAAACAGCCAGAGAAAAAGGACCCTGATGTACAAGCCAGGAGACAGTATATCAACATTTTTAAGTACTGAAAGAAAAAACAAAACAATTGTCAAACTAAAATCCTATACCCAACCAAAATGTCTTTCAAAATGAAGGCAAAATATATTTTTAGACATAGAAAAGTTGAAAGAATTTATCACCAAAAAGATCAAAAGTAAAAAGGACAGGCACATTAAAATAAAAATAAGTCAAACAACACAATAATAATATCAAAGTAAAATTCAATGTAAAAAGCATTCAATGGGATGAGGTTTATCATTAACTGATGAATTCATTCTATAATTCACAATTAAGGTTTTCCTTGTGAAGTTTTATGTGTCAAACACAGTACAGTGTTAGAAAACAAAACAGCAACAGAAACAAAATTGTAGTAATATAAATATCCCTCTTTTAATCCTTAATAGATAAAGTAGGCAAAGGATAATAAGTATATATAG